ATATTTCTTTTATTTGATTTATTTGATTTCTTTGATTTATTTAAGATATTTAATATAGTTGAGAAATTAGATATATTCATGATAGTAGATATAGTTGATATAATTAATATAGTTGATATATCTAAGATAATTTTTTATAATTAGCATATATATAAGGAGAGTGAAAATGTCTGAATAAAAGGAACAATTTAACCTCAAACAATTTTGACATCTAATTGTTCAAGTAAACTATTTTGCAAATGTGTTGACATTTGAAGGTGAAATTGTAACCATAAAGGACTTTGAAAGAGTTTCAGAGTAGTTTGAAAGTGTGAATGCATTATTGCTACAACAGGAACTTAGGTATAGTTTGAATAGACGAATATGCATGCTAACGGATGAATTTGAGTTTATTTTTTTGTAGAAAGAGCAGGATACTCGGACCAAATTATTACACCTCAATCTTAAAAACTTTAATTATTCGAAAGGACCTCGAAAAACCCTTATACTACTTCTCAAATTGCTATATTTCTATCATTTTTGTCGAGTTTGAAGTTTAGTTAATGGATTGTAAATTCATTTAATGTGGATAGAAATTTGAGGAAAAGGGAAGAAACTAAGACATTGAGTTGGAAATTGAAAAGACGGGTTGTATGCTTTTTGGGTTCAAATTTGATTTCAAAGAATTCGATAGTTTCAGTATCAGGATTCTTAGAGTCGGTTTTGATAGAGGGGATAAGCCAGGAGTTGGGGTGATTGGAAAGAAGAGGGATTTGAGTATCTTTTGTTGGTTTGATGATGAATACTTTAGAAGTTTTACAGTTTTTATATATGATTGAAGCTTTGGGTTTTTTGTTATCAGAAAGGACAACATCCAAGAGAATATGTTCAGAATTGCTAACTGGAGGTTTGGAAGGGGAGCCTCTCTCCTTCTTGGTAAAAGCTTTGGAGAAATTTTGTCTTTTGGTTTTTTTATTTTCTAAAATAATAGTATGAATGCAAGTGGGAAAGAGTTTTAAGCATTTATATATTTTTTTAATATATAATTTAAATATATAATAAATTTATGCTATTTGAGTTATAAAAGAAATATTATTTTGTTAGAACAGTTGATTATATATGTTTTTATAAAGAAAAATATTCTGATGAAAAGAAGTGATTAAAGATAAATATAAGAAATAGAAAATATTCTAGAGTAAGAATAGTACAAAAAATATAATGCTTGAAGATAATAAATCAGTTATATAAAGATTATTCTAAAATAGAAAATATTTTAAGGATAAATATTATTAAAAATTGAATAAGGAGTAATGAAAATTTTTAACAAAAATCAAGTATAACAATACATTAAAGATATTTTTTTACAAATTTATATTTCATTTTAAAATAAATATTCTTAAATTATTAATAATTCTATTATATAAAGAACTTTATTAACTATAAGTAATTATATTCTCTATATGATTTTATTTATAGTTTAATAAAGCAACTTTAACTATTTAATTAATAAAATAAGAGATATTTCATCTCAAAATTGTTTATAATATAAAGTTTATAAAAATTCAAAAAATTTTATAATTTCATAAGTCTATTATATAATTATATAATCTCTAATATCTAACTTTCTTGAATTATGATATTATTTTTTTCTTAAATAATATTTTCAAATAATAATATAAAAATATATAAAAATAATATTATATATATATATTAAAAACTTTTTTGTTAATCTTTTTGTCAACTAAAAAAATAAATATTTTCAAAAATATTTTTTATTTTTGATAATAAAGTTTATATACTCTTCTTAATATCTTATTTACTAAAGATTAATATTTCTCTTATTTGTTTATTTTTTTTTAAAAAACTTTATATATTTTAATGACAAAATAAACAAAACTTTATATATTTTATTGGAAAGAAAAAACCTGTCGAAAAAATATTCTCTATTATATTTTCTTTAAATTTAAAATTTTAAAAAGTAAACTATTAATGAATATATTTTTTAAGCTCCATAAAAATTTTAGATTTATCATAAGTAAACACCTTAGGCTAAAGTGAATAGATAAATTAGTAAAGTTTATTTTTTCAGATATATAATCTTTTTTTATTAATTATATATATCTATAGTAATACTTTTAAGCATATTACAAAATTTTTGTTTTTCTAAAGAATTTGCTTATCTCAGTTTGATTTTAATTATTATTTTGTTATTTTAAATTTGATAATAATATTGTAAAAATATTAATAAATTATATTAAAAATTAATTGTAATTAATTATTAATTAAAAGCTTTATATTAATTAATTTTACTTGAATATGATCAATAATTTATTATTTTTAAGAAATTAAATATAATAATGATTATATTAACTAATATTTTGAAGTGATAATATATATAATAAATTTGAAAAGATATTAATTAATTTAAAAATAAATTTAATTTTTAATAAAAAACTAGTCAATTCTTAAATAATATTATAAGAATAATATTTGAAAGTTAAAGTAGATTTATTAATTATATTTTTTTTAAAGTATTGTCTTATAATTCAAAAAACTAAATTTTATATCAAATTACTTATAATATTTTTTTTCAGGTAAAGAGCGCTAGTAGTGCATGAACTTTATTAAGTGATTTATATCCAATTACATGCTTACAAGGTCCATTTAAGTTAACTCGCACTCCTACCTATAGCCTTATCCAGTTATACTGATTAATCACCATGGGGGTGAATCCACACACTAGGTGGAATCTTTAAGAGATAGAAATACTACCACTAATTTATAAACTATCTAACCTAATCTAGATCCTGGCAGTAGTCATTTAGAGCGTGTACCTTTCAGGATTGGTTAGAACACTTGGATAACCTGTTCAATACTTTTCGCCTGGTTTCTTAGAGAAGGTACTGTATTTCTTGTCACCACCTGCGGCTTCAGATTTCCCTTTTCATCGGGTCCTCTTCTTTTAAGCAAGTGCCGGATTGGGATAGCCCCAGGCTAGAGTATTCTTTGTATTACAGAGTCTACCATGCCAGAGGGTTTGTGAGCTTTTATTGGAGTTAGACCAGAAGCCTTTTCTCGTGCAACCTTCCATGCTTCGACCTATTTTCAGCCCACGATCGTTGGGAAGACCAGAGATCCCATCTTCATGCAGCCTAACTAAATTTGGTTAGGATCTAGATGTTTAGAGTACGATATTTGTAGGAAAACCGGTAAACCTACAAATGAAGGAATATTATACATTTTGTCCCTTGTGGATATTGAACTAGGAACATGTATTTGGAGACCAGGAAGCATTACCTACTGTACTATTGACCCACTGGTTATCAAATTATTTATATTATTAGCTTGAAATATCAGTAATATATACAATATAACTTTTTAACAATGCTTAATATATTTTATTATTTATATCAATAAAAATTATATTAACAAATAATAAAAAACTAAAGACTATATGTTATAGACCAGGGTTTTCTTGAAAATATAATTTTTAATTTTTAATTTCTTATATCTTTTTTATTTTTCTTTAAATAAATATATATAATATATTTCAATTATATCTAACATGTTAATATTGTTTTAAAATTTAGTGTTAATACATGTAAAAATGTTTTTTTTTCATATACAATATATTTTATTATATAAAGAAACTATGTTTATTTATAGAAAAAAAAAGAAATATTATTATTATTATATAATTTTTATTTAAAACCCAGATAGCATGTTATTAACATGTTTTTTTTTTCTCGAATATTTAAAAAAACCAAAAGTACAAAATTTTTATTTTATATATTTTTAAACAAATTTCAAAATTCCATTTTTATTAATTTTTCTATTTTAATTATTGAATTTGAAATTCTTAAATTCATTATAATTCATAATTCTTTTTTTGATATTAATTAAGATCAAATACCCTATAGCCCGAATACCGATCATAAAAGAAAAAAAAATTCAAATATATACAGTATATATACACACAGTATATGCAATATGACAGTATAGAGTATATGCGAAAAGAGAAAAAAAAACAAAAAATGTGGAAAGAAAGAATGCGTGGGAAGTTGAATGGTAAGGATAAATTTCAAAGCGCATTGACATTTATGTAAATCTCATTGTCTTGTTACACGATGTATTAGATTATCTCGCGCCATCGCTGCTGACCTAGATCATTAAAAGGTGTTTATTTACATATATGGATTGCAAAGAAATAAAAGAAGGCGAAAAAGACGCCCATCACCATCTCTCGGTCATATGTTGGATACGTACGCAGCGCCTAAACCAATCGTAGGAGCATAACAAACGGGCTGCATCTTTTGACGCCAATTTAAGGCCTAACTTCCAGCCCTATGGTCAAAAATAGACGTTTGGATCGATTATTGTCACACCGGATCGTGTTACATAATCTGTTAAGATTGCATTGCACTGAATGCAATATCGGAATGATTAAAAAAAAAAAAAGCTCCTTCCATGATGAAATTCGACGATGACAGCGTGCCCGCAATAATCGAACATTTTTCACCCAAGAAAGTGCAAAAGAGGTTTGGCGTTGATTACTTGTTTTTTTTTACATTTGTTGTTGGCGTCCACCTTGCCAATCAAGGTTTAAGTTCACGATGCGATACTTACACGACATACCAATGATTACCATAAAGGATCATAAATACTCCGAGAAAAAATAGCTATATTATTACACTTGGCATAAATCGAGACCTGCGGTAGTTTTGTGTGAAGAAAAAGGATATATTTTGGATGACATCAATGTGATCAATAATATGAATAAGTCCTGTGCGTGAGAAGAATTATTGAGATGGTGCGCATGAAAGGGTATATAAGAAGCAATTATTCGCATTCATTTCACACACACAAAATGTCCAAATACAATAAGACATCACTCGTCTTCCTATCGCTTGTTATACTCATATTCTGCCTACCGACCTTCACCATCGGCAGACATGCATCACCATTGTCACTGCTAGACTTGGACTTCGATTCGTCTTCGTCTTCATCGCATCATCACACACTCCGAAACTACAGACCGCCACCACCACACCGACCAAAAACAAACCGAGCGTGGGTGGGTTTTTCGAGTCCACCGGACATTGTCAAGGGAGTTGTGGTGTTCTGGGAGACGTCCAAAAATAATACGATCGTCGCAGGGCAATTTAGTACCGGATTCGTGGAGGGAGAAGAAGCGGATTACACATTCAAGTTGTATAGGGGATCCAAGGAGGTCATCGATTTGAAACCGTCTGATGACTTGTTAGATAAATTGTTTAAGATCCGACCCGACGGAGCTACGGATTTCTTCTTGTTCACCATCGAAGACAAATTGTTGATTAGTGGGGAAGACTCGATCTTGGGCACAACCTTTGTAATTGGTCGTCCCGGAGTGTTGCTTGGAAAGAATGAAGTTGGTCCACTGAGCTGCCATTAGTAACGAACGTGAACCGTGTGGGATAGGGAGACAACGGATAGATGTTGATGGTTATAGCAATTTTAAGGTTTTTGTGTCACGATGGTAGTGAGAAATTTTCTGTTGGTGGCCTTGTGTCACTCATGTGTGTGGTTTTCACAAGAATTTAAATAAAGGCATCCCAGAAGTAGGGATCGTAAAATAATGAATGTACACGTATTGAGTTACAACTGTTACAATTGTTACGATGTTTACAGATATATTATAAAGCAATTCCGAATGTATGAATGTATGAATGTATGCGACAGCACGTGTAAATATCGGTTCGAAACATTGAAAACCACATTTATTTGTTCACGTGTATACGCCCATTTTTTTTTATGTTTGAGAAAATCTATCGTTCGCGATCAAAATTTTTGATCGTGACGCCGAAAACCCATCTAAAATCTATTATTTGTGTCGAATGCAACTTTTGCCTATCCGTCTATCTACTACTACATTTGAAAGTTGAAATGAATAGTGTCTTTCAGATAAATTTGATGTTTTCGCGTGATCAGTTTTTCTAATAGATTGTGTGTTCATCATCTACCCGTACCTTCCTCCGTTCAATAACTAACACATTGGTCCGTAAAAACATCTGAAGCAAATTAAGAAATATTTACAGGAGAAAAAAAAAATTACAATTTAATGGAATTAGTCCGATATAGAAATATCGAACACCATTTGCGACGATTAGTTGTGCGTACTGCATTTGTTTCCCTATGTGACCATGTACAAGGAAAAGAAGCGCACAAGTAAAACAAGCACAGTATATAAAAAAAAGAAAAGAAATGCTGCGGATTCTAAGGAGATACTGTGGTGATCGCGGAAAATGAATGTTTCGATCATCACATTATTGGATGCGGATTAGAAGAAGGCGGAGAGCTACGTGAAAATAAATAAATAATTAATTAAATAAAAAACAAAGAATAAATAATTAAATCAAATGCGCATATTAGTTTGCGAGCTAGACCAAATGCGTGAATTGACTAACATTGTTTACCTTGGGGACGTGACCATACGCCTCATCGCTGTAGGTTGACATGTAAGAAAAAAAAAAAAGCCTTATGGTGATTTAGGATCGAACGCCCTTCGCGCAAAGCAATCGTTATCGCCGAAAGCCTCGCAGTTCAAATGGAACTTGGTTGTGTCATCAGTAATTAAAGCCTTCTTACAACGACAAGCCCTTACTCTTTGTTGCTTGTGAGATGGACGGGCGAGGATATTTTTGATGTACCCGGCTTTTTGTTTTGCTGAGCAGCCAGGCACGGCAGCAATTCTTTCGTGGATAAAAAAATTATTATTTTTTATTTTAATTTTATTATTATTTTTTGGTTTTTTTTTTTTTTTTTTTTTTGGTTTTTGGTTTTGAAAAGTACATTGAAGGAAAAAAAAGCCTCGTCGGTGCGCTTATATATCAAACGCTTCTCAAATAATGATCCCAGTTTTAAAGGAAGTTCACGCAATGGCAGAGGAATCACCGCCGTTAGTTGGCGAACGTACCACGATCGAATTTCGAAAATTTTAAAATTGGGCACATAAATAGAACGCATATACTGTATATTTTATATTACCAAATAATGATCATTGTTCAATTAAATAAAATGAATTGTAATTCTTTTATTAAGTAATTCACTTTCTAAACATTGATTTCAAGTTCCTGAATTGTTTCCAAACTCGATCATTCTGGGTGTTACCACCAAACGGTTGGTTATCTCGCACGACCATGTTTCACAGAATTTTGACAGCCCGGTCATTCCAAGGTAGTTCTGGGATGGTGGATAACAAGTTTCGACACTGATGATTTGATTTTCGAATCTCTTTCTTTCTTCACGTGTGTTGAGAATTGAATCTCATGTTTCATGACTCTTCGTGACTCCAGATGACTGCAGAGAGTGGGGGAGCGGTATGGCACTGATTTAAGATTTCAGTGTTGGCGTAATTGAAAAGAATGGTAAAAGATATCGCTTCAGAGGTTATTCCGCTGTCTTTGTGTTGTTGCAAGATTTTATGGAAGTCTCGAAATTGCCAACCAATTAAAATCGCATGAATTTAGAAAATTCATGATTGAACGTAACATGCTCAGTCAAGCCTCTTTGCAAATTTTTATTGACGTTTTCGTGGGAAATTGAATTCAATTGCGCCCACCGAAGCCGCACAATCCTCTAAACATCTGTGGTGGCTTCAAAAGTCGTGGGTTCTGATAACGCAGCGACTCGTGTGATTATTGATTTGCCACGCAAATTTCCCGAGATCAGGGTTTTTGGCTTGGTGAATCGCGCGAGGAACTGCTGAGGTATGTTTTTGAGGGAAGCACACAAGTTATGACCGAAATGCAAACTTTGGAAGTTTCCACGTCTCGAAATAATGCGAACAATCAAAGAACATAATAGTAAACATAATAGTAGAACGGGATCATATGCTTTTTTTCGTTGCAAAATACGAACTTACCGAGTTTAGCGTGTTCTTACCATAAGTTCTCGCCAGGCCTCATCCTTAAAGGAAAACACGATTACCCACGCCACTCTCAGTTCGTGGTGGCAACAATTTGCTTTTCCTCTTTTTGTTTCTTTTTTCAACGGGTGACTTGAATAAATAAAGAAACAATTTCGGAAGTCTTAAACATGATTCATCCGTGTGTAAACAATTTACCATAATATCCGTCGCAGCAAGGGATATCGATTGAACTCTCCTTGTACGGTACGAAAATGACCAAAAACGGCATTGCTGAGGCTGCCAAAATGAGCCCTTCCCTGTTCACTATGAATACAATACAGGAATGTTTCACAAAAATCTAACGTTATCTTCGATCCACATTATTTAATATTGTCATTTAAAAAAAAAAAAGCGACCATTGTTTCACATCTATGTACTGTAAATACTGTAGTAGTTAATTGGGTTCTAAGTATCGATATATATAGAACTGTTCGCATTTGGCGTTCCGTCTTCAATCAGGTCATGAAAACGAAAATTGTGACAGATCACCCGGTAGAAGGAAGCGTATCAAGTCAAACACTTGGGAAATAGCTTTGCATCGAATATTAAAATGCGATAGAAGACTTGAAGCATCACAAAGAAAGATATGCGTCGTATCTGGAATAACCATTCATTTGCAAATAAACTTGGGAACATCTACCGATTTGCTCCGCATACTGTATCTATAAATTTTGGGAGACTTTTTTTTTTTTTAAAGGCACTTACCGTAATCGCTTTTTTGACTCATTCCGACTTTTTTGGTTAAGTTGATATACGCACATGCATACAGGGTAGGGTACGGTTGCGAAACCTTACGTACGCATTTTTAAAATCCTCAACCATAAAAGTACTAAGGTGCCAAACAAACAGCACCTGACCTAAACCGCGGGCCGATCTAAAAGCAAATTTATGCACCACATTCCCAGAGAATTTTCGTGTAGAGTTTAGCACCAGGAGATCAGCGAGATAACCGACAAGCCCCTGAACGTTTCGTTCTCTCATGTCAAAAAGGTTTGTCACGATATGGGTGCGCTGACCAAGGAATGAATAACGAATGGGTGAATGAATGATCCCGTAAACTCCCCGCTCGTAAGCAAGTAACATTTTTGAACACAGCCTTATTTTTCCTATGACTTAATCTCATGACTTGATACTCCATCTACTTGGAAATTATAATACGGACACATGTGCGACCTTTTCGGTTTCTCAGGAAAAAGCTTAAAAAAAGTTTTTTTTTTTTTTTTTAATTGTCATCAGGATTTTAGATTATTATAACTTGCGAGTGGTGTATGCACGTTGCCGTTACGATAACACGCAAGCGTACGTATTTTGAAAATTCGCATATGGACATCCTGTCGTATGTGGTGACATATTGCATGTAACAAACATTTATTCAATTTCTTTTTTTTCTTTTTTACGCAACCAGCCGACCCACCAATAAATATATAACTGTTGATTTTTTTTTTCATTTTTGGATCAAAGTTCCTTAAATCTTTTTTTTTTTTCTCCAACACATCTTTTCCCAATACGCATTCACTTCTCTCAGCGAACTGGTCGGAAGTTGAATGTCCGTGCACACTTCAAATTATCAATGAGATAATCAGAAATCTAATGATATTTTTTTACGTATAAATATCGTACGTATAGGGTTTGATTCAGTACAACTTGAATGAACTTTTGCCACGACTGAAAATTATTTTTAACACGCACAATAAATTGACCTAAATCTTAATTGTGTGCTTGTTCATTAATTCTTTTTTAGTTAGCCACATAAATAAGTACAATATATAGCGAAAAACGCTTTTTTTTTCTCGACCTTACACATTTTCACACGAGACGATGTTATTCTTCCTTTCAATATTCATTGCACAAATATTTGTCCCTCCGCCACCTTACCAAACGAGCGTCGGTACCTACGAGAAATCTACGGTCAAACAGAGGGGACGAGCATTTACACATAGGTGTGAGAGATTGAGTGAGACGATCAATGAGAAGGAGCAGATTTTTGTGACGAACGGGGACGAGGGGGTTGAGGAGGAAAATTTTAACAGAAGTATGAACAAGGATGATATTATTTTAATTAAAATTTAGTCGCTCGGAGGATTGATTGTGAAGGAAAGATTATAGACGTTAGTCATATAAAAGCATGATGAAACTGAAACAGAACATTGGTTTTTTTTTCTTCAAAAAAAAAAAAAAAAAAAAGGCATTCGCAATATTTACAGAAAAAAACATACACTTCATTGTAGATATACTTTCACACATATAACATATTTATCATCTCCTAAGGTTTCGTAAACCATATACCATTAAGAACCACATAAAAACAATCTCTTGATGGCAGTGTACTACTTATGTCGTTTCTTTATAAAGAATGCTTTGTGTATTATTATTATATAATAATGTTTTGGTTTAATCCAGGGTAATTTAATCAGAAATCTTTTTTTTTTTTTTTTTTTTTTTTTTTTTTGAGATAATTAAGTGAATCAAAAAAACCTGCTTTTCATTTACTCTTCTAAAATGGGCGCGTCGTTCATTGCCGAGCCATGCACTAAGCCATGCACTGTGAATCCCTCGGCGCATTACACTCACAATAAATAATAATCAAAACGAAGGAATGCAAAAAAAAAAAATAATAATAATAATCAAGAAAATATCATCCGAAAATTTTACAATGAATGAAATTAATGAAATTAATGAAATTCCTTTTTTTTTTTTTCTCGAAACCGACCTCACCACTTGAAATTCTATCAACTAATACCCAAGAATTCAACTTTTCGAAATATTATATGATGATTGAATAATATAAACCCAAAAGGAGGAGTATGCTGTACGATACGTCAAAATCTATTTTTTTTTTTTTTTCCTCTTCCAATCAATAAGAATTCAGATGGTATGCACAGATGATCAATTTAGGTAAAGGGTTTACCTTGTTTCGGATGTCCATCCGTTTCATGAAGATACGTTTCATCCATCACATCTTGTGAATGGATTTGTGAGAATGAGACTAAGGTAACAATTACCAGCAGCAAGCTCGTTATGATAAATAATACTAACAAAGCCGTGATGACCTGTGTGCGTGTGAACTTCGAGAACCTCATTTTTTCTTGAAGAGGAAAAGAAGGTACTCGAGTGTTGCTTGCATGTGTTTTTAATTATTCGCAGAGAAAAAAAAAAAAAAAAATAGAAAAAACAAAACTTTCATGCCACATTAGCGTCAACGTAATGGCTTAGGGCACGAGAAATCTGTCATGGCGCGGGCGAATATGACCAAATGTCACGATCGACTTCCCCCGTGTGTGTCACGCATGTTTTACGTGTGAGCGATGATGATTAAGAATGTATTCGTTGAGTCTTGTAAACATGAATTATTATTTTTTTTTTAATGTTCAACGTATTTTCGTTTTAAAGAATATGATTTATAATAAAAATGTTTATGTACAAAGATGAAAAGAATGACCAGCATACCAAAGCACACTCCCAGGTCAAATGCTTATTTTGAAAAAAATCGACCTTCCTATTTTCCCATCATCACCGCTGCTAATCTAAACTCCTTTTGATCGTCGTTTCGCTCTCGTTTGAATTTCCGGAACCTCATTCTCATTTGTTCTCTCTTGTCTGATTCCTAAAACTCCTTCGCTTCTCCAACTCTCCCAAAATCTCATTTCCAATGCCACCTTTCTGGACCACTCCTTCTCCCTTCCCGTTGTTGTTCATATTTCCGTTTTTCGAGGTGAACTCCTTACCTCTCCCCCTAATCTCGGTCCTAGCCTCCACGATCACATTGTCACCGTCACGCTTTTCGCATTCCCCCACACCGACCTCATGAAATGTGACATCTCCAGCCATTTCGGTAACTTCAAGTACCGATTTTTCCAGCACATATTTCTCGTGTGTTGACCCGTGATTCACGCTTTTACTTCGCCGAAAGTAGACACCTTGAACATGCAGAAAGTATCCGATTATCAGTACGGTCAAGAGTGCTTGGCTGACCAGGAAATAGGTTAGCGGCTGCGGAAAGAGGGGTTGCGAGGACGATGTTTCCACGAATGTCATTTGGAAGGAAGAATGGATTTTGACTCCGGCGAGGAAGAATGCAGGTAAGGTCGACCATGATATTAAATATGTTTTGGGAAAAAATAAAAAAAAAAAAAAAAAATCCGGTAATGCCTCTGGATAACCAATTATATTGTAATTATTTAGAATGCCATTTCGAGTTTCAATAAATTGCGCTGCTCTCGGTATGCGCTTACGTACAATTTTAACAAACACTTTTACTCATTCGTCCATTAATTCCACTGTATGGATTATATTCAAGAGGAAGTTAAAACCAAGCCTCGAACAAAATTTTTGATGTGGCTTTTCCCCCAGGCTTTGAAAATCTCGGAACCTAAATAGATTATCCCATACCTGTTATTTGTGGGGGCATCCTATAAAATTCAGTTCGGATGGTCAAATTGATATGACTCTTACAGAATCATGCATTGTCGATTTCAAACTAAATAAAATAAAAATAAAATCAAATAATTATTTTCAAACTAAATAAAATAAAAATCAAATCAAATAATTATTTTCAAAAAATAAATAAAAATGATTATTTTCAAAAAATAAATAAAAATGATTATTTTCAAAAGATAAATAAAAATGATTATTTTCAAAAAATAAATAAAAATGATTATTTTCAAAAAATAAATAAAAATGATTATTTTCAAAAAATAAATAAAAATGATTATTTTATTTTCAAAAAATAAATAAAAAAATGATTATTTTATTTTCAAAAAAATAAATAAAAATGATTATTTTCAAAAAAATAAATAAAAATGATTATTTTCAAAAAACAAATAAAAATGATTATTTTATTTTCAAAAAATAAATAAAAATGATTCTTTTATTTTCAAAAAATAAATAAAAAAATGATTCTTTTATTTTCAAAAAATAAATAAAAATGATTCTTTTCAAAAAATAAATAAAAATGATTGTTTTATTTTCAAAAAATAAATAAAAATGATTATTTTCAAAAAACAAATAAAAATGATTATTTTCAAAAAATAAATAAAAATAAATAATTTTCAAAAAATAAATAAAAATGATTATTTTATTTTCAAAAAATAAATAAAAATGATTATTTTATTTTCAAAAAAT